CCCGTGGGGTGCCAACATATACACTAACATCCAGCTCCAGGTAAAGTCCCCCCCATGAGCTTCTCGGTGTAGCGGGCACTCGAGGTACCCCCCAGTCCATGAGACCCCCCCTCCCAGAGTCCACCAACTGGGCGGCCTCTGCACCTCCACTGTCTCGGTAGAGTCTCAGTAGGTCAGATAGGGTGCCTCCGTGGGCCCCCTCCATTGCCAGCCACTTCTCCTAAGCTTAGTCCATGCGGCCCTGTGGCCACCGTTCCACCGCGGCCCCCCACAGTCCAGCCCAGCCGGGCTCTTAGCAATGGGAAGCAACATTCTCCAGGTGTCTGGATCTCCTAGAGATGGAGGTCACTTCTGTCTGACCAAAGACAGCCCGGTAACCATGATGCCACTGCCTGTCGGCAATCCTCTCGATGCTCCCGAGTGGTACGTGGGCGGACTCCTGAGTGAGTGTGTTGGGAGTCGTTTAGTCCGTTCCGTGATAAGGCAAGTAGGGGGCTTCATAATTTATGTTGTGTCTCCCATGTAGTGCCTGGGTATATACGGGCAAAGCTGTATCCAGCGTTCCGCAGTTGCAGGCTGATAACTGTAAGCTTGTATGTGGAAACTTGCGTCTTTAAACAAGAAACAATTAAAACAGTTGAACTAGTTCTGGGGAAGGGTGCAGGGCCGCAGGGTGGTCTCTCTGGTCGCCTTTTGCACGTTGGGAGAGACAAGTGTTTTCATATCGTGCTTGTTCACTGAGCATTTGCAGAATGCTTCCAGGCTCAGCAATAGGCCGCAGGTTCATGCCATCATGTAGGCCCGAGTTTTCAGATTCCTCACTTTTGTGGGGTCTGCAGCCGCCGGTTGGTTTCTTTGTGATGCTGGCAGGTTACTCTATTCAGATATATTATTTTTTAAGGGTTAATAGTCCGTTTGCACGCTGAAAATCAGTGTTTATTCGGGCTCAGGACCAGAGCTGCATGAGATGGCTTCCTTTCAGCTCGACTGTCCGGCCCCCTTTCAGCTCGACTGTCTGGCCCCGCCCCTGACTTTCTCTTCATTTTAAATAATAAATTAGATTTTTAAATTGTAAAATGCATATTTTATTTCAATATGGCAAATACTTTCAAAGAAGCTTAGTTACAGCTTGATAATATATCAGTTCCGTCATTGGAAAAAGAAAGGGCACACTCTTTGAATTCTATGGTTTTACATATCGGGGCATAATAACAATCGTCTGTTCTTAGCAGGTCTTAAAAATAGGTACAACATGAGATGAACAACAACCAGTTGCATACCTACCACGGTCGCAGGGATCACCAGGCCCATCTCTCCAGAGGGTTTGGGCGCAGCTGCGACCACTGCGACCGTAGGCCGCCGGCATACCTTCAGGGCCAGTGCACAACCGCACCAGCCGGGGCTCACGTTCCTGCCGCTGTATGTAATGTGGCCATGCGCCCTGACAGGAAGAGCTCACTGAGAGAGCACTTCCTGTCAGACAGGTACCACGTTGGAGAGCAGGTACAGGAGGGGGGAGAGATACATGAGGCGCTGAGGGGAGGAGGGAATGGAACACATGGAGGGACTTTGGGGGGGAGGAAATGAGACACATGGAGATGCTTTGGGGGTAGGAAATGAGACACATGTGGGAAGGAAATGAGACACTGTGGTGCTTTGAGGGGAGAAATGATTCACAGGCGGAGGCTTTGGGCTGGAGGAAATAAAACACATGGAGGCGATTTAGGGGGGGAATGAAACACATGGAGGGCCTGGGGGAAGGGAATGAGACACACAAGGCATCTGGGGGGCAGATGAGACACATGGGGGACCTGAGACACAATGATCAGGTGTGCTTGGGATCATTGTCCTGGTGCATGACCCAAATTCAGCCAAACTTTAGCTGTCTGACAGATTGCCTCACATTTGACTCTAGAACAGTGATGGCGAACCTTTTTGAGCCTGAGTGCCCAAACCGTAATACATGCCAACTTTTTTTTTCCTCAAAGTGAATACACACAGACAGACTGCTGAGTACATAAACACAGTTGGCTTAATACATGCACACAGTCCGCTGAATACATGCACACAATCTGTACACACAGTCAGCTTAATACACACACAGAGACTGCTGAATACACACAAACTGCTGTAGACTGCTGAATACACACACTGCTGAATCCACACACACACAGAATGCTGAGTACACACAGACTGCTGAATACATACACACAGTCTGCTGAATACATACACACAAGCATACACACAGGCTGCTGAATACACATACACACAGTCCGCTGAATACACATACTGTGAGGAACTGACTCTGCTGGGTTTCGAACCCTGGTTTACATGGTGCTAAACCTTTTCCTTACCAGTACACCAGCCTGCCTTTTGCAAATTTACCTGAGATCTTATACCATTGCTTGTAGAGTCAAGGTTATCAGTGACAACTCTCTTCAGCTGTGTCTGGTCAGGTGTCTGGTTCTTGGCCTATAAAAGCCACTTCCTGTCTCTGTACCTTTGCCAGATTATTGTGGTTCCTGTACTCTCTAATCAAGCGTGTTCCTGTTTCTCCTTCCTGTTGCTGAATTTGGACTGTTTTGACTTTGCTGCTTCTCCTTCCCACTGACCTCGGCTTGCCTCACTACGATTATCATCTTTCTGTTCCAGTCTCCCATCTCTGCTTAAGACCAGAAGGCCACTCAAGGCTCAGGGGCTCAACCACCTGGGTAACGAGTGGCTACCTCTGGCAGAAAACATTACTGATCTGGCTACTGGACTCCAAAACTTTGTAACATCAATATCATTACAGAATAATCTGGCCCATTCATGGAGACCGTCGGATCAGATTCTGCATTGGCCCAGCAGGTTGCTTTTAATGCAAGAACTATGCAGACCCAGGCACAGACCATTCAAGTGCTGCAGGATCAGGTAGCTGAACTGCAAAATGAAGTTCGATCAATGCATAGTGAGCTTACCAGCTACAGGGCACTGTGGGGATATTTATGGGATAATAATAGTAACAGTTGAGAATTGCCCACTAATTCAATTCTCAGATCCCAAA